CTCGCCTCCCTGGCCTCACCCCCCCTGGGCCGCGGAACCCTGTATTTTTGCTCGAGGCTCGTCCGTTCGCGATTCGTCCCTGGCCTCGCTGGCCCCCATCCCCTCTGGTCCGCGGAACTCCTTATCTTCGTTCGTGGTTCATTCATTCGTGGTTCGTCCCTGGCCTCCTGGCCATCGGCACCGCGACTCATGCCTGAACCCCCTAACCCCCTGGCAGGATTTCTGTTCTTCCTTCCGCTGGAGGTCCACCTTCGCGGTGACCCGTTAAACTTGGGACCCACGGCGGCGCAGGGATTCGTATCGTTCTTCCGCGTGCGCATTGCCACTGGAACCTCTGAACCCCTCGGACTAGAGTGCTCCGAGCACTTGAGTGCAATTGGCACTAGCTTGTACTAGCGCGCAGCTGCTCCTAGAGTGCACCAGGTCCTGCAGTACAGCTAGTATTAGAGTGCAACTGCTGGCGCATCACAAGTTGTAGTACAGTGCACCCAATATGACAAAAAACAATTAGTGTTAGAGTACACAGTACACCTACTATTACAGTACAGCTGGTGCTACAGCCCGACGAGTAATGCTGTATTACCCCCACAATCTGCGCTCTCGCGCTTCTCCTCCTCTGGTTGCGCTGGGAGGGGGGGACCCCGCGCGCCAGCGCCCCCGCGGCTGAGAGTCCATCCCTCTTTTGGAATTTGGTGCAAAGGTCACCCTCGTGCTCGAACTCCTCGCCCAGGATTTCTTTCTTTCTTCCGCGGAAGCCGGGCCACCTTGGGCTCCTCGGCGCGCCTCGGAAATTCTTCCCTTCGGGATGGCCCCCCATGTTGGGTGGGTGGGAATGAGGGGTGACCCAAGTGGAGGTTGAAGAGAAGGGCCCTATAAAGGGGCCTTTTGGGGCCCGTGTTGGAGCCAGCTGGTGCCCAAGAGGGGCCCCCAAAGGACTCCTCTGGGGCCCTTTGCTTCACCCCCCATTCGGGTCACCTCCCATGGCCACCCGCCCGAGTGGGTCATGTGCTGGAGTTGCCCGGGTAGTCCCTGGCCCTCTCCCCCCGGGAGCTTCCCCTGGTCTTGCAGGCGCCCCCCCCCCCCCGCCCCCCCTGGACCGTTGCCCTGTCCTTGACGGGGCCCTTCATTCGTTGCGGTGCTGCGGGCCCCCAGGGCCGTCTTTGCCTTGAGCTTCGGACGCTCGAAACGGCGATAGCGTGAAAGACATGGAAGAACACAATCAAGATCACTGGATTTTGTCTCTGTGGGCCCTCTTGGGGGACCTCTTGGAGCGCTCTTGGGGCTTCTTTGGGCCTCTTCGGCGATCTATGGCGGTCTTGGAGGCGTATTCGGCCATCTTGGCGGCTTTGGAATCCCTCGCCGCTTCCTCGTGCCAGAGGCAGGGCACACGTGCCTCTTGTTTCTTGATGGCGGCATGATATGCCCTAGTGGGGTCCAGTACGTAAATATGTCCGCGCCTTCTCGAAGCTGTGCGGGTTGAACGGGTTGGTGGGAGGGGCGGGATGGGCAGGCATGGATTGGTTCTTATGCCGCGGGTAGGGCCGATGTTCGCTTGAGTTAGTGCTGCGGAGCATTGGGGCGATGCAGGGTTGACTTGTTTCTAAGGCGATGGGTGAATATCCCTAGCGGGGCAGGGACGATGAGGATCGCAGCCTAGAGAATCGACAATGCGCACAAGCCAAATTGTGCCGAACCATGTGGAACAGTAAGGTTATTATGTCGGCGGGATGTGTTGAACACCATGCTGTCTCGAAGAACCCGCTCAGGGATCCTCGCGCCAGCTGGTGACCAGGGGTCCATCTGCGTATTCAAGAAAACGCGTTCTGCAATCAAAGCTATGATCAGCAAACGGTTGCGGTCGAAGTTGTGGTGGGAATGTGTTCGACCAACGGTTTTTTTGCAGCCTCCGGCGATTTAAGGCATATGTTGAGCAAGCTGGCTGGCGCACATGACTTAGCAGACAGCGTGGTGGCAATACAACCGAAACGTCTACACCAGTTTGGCGTCAAGCGTACGGTACATCGACAAAATGTTGCACCACCTGGCGCCGACGATAAATCGCATCGCTGTTATATCAATCGTTTGTTTCCCCTCCCCTCCCCCCCGATCTTAATATTGGGTTCGGTCCGGGCTGGTCGAAACAGCTCGGTGGCGCAACATGTTGTCGGGAGCCCCCGGGCGGAACAGGGGCTCTTCGCCATGCACCCAGTATTGAGATCGCGGGGAAGAGGGGGGCAAGAGCAATGCAGTGCAGGTGCCAATGCAAAGCAAAAATGGTGCAACATGTTGTCGACGTACGGTATGGAAGCCCGAACGGGGCAGGATTGACAACGACGGACGTGCTCGCGAACGTAATCAGTTCAGACAAGTCGTTCGCTGATGATCGGAGAGCCACCCAGAAGAAGCTCGCCGCCATTCTCAAGCAGTGGCGAGGCGTCCTGGCTTGCCTATAGGCCCATCAGAGAATGTTCTAAGAACCTTGTCCCCACATCCAAAGTGGGGTTCTTCTTTTCTCTGGACACCCCACGCAGGAAGTCTCACCCCTCACCCCCTCCTTTTCCTCCTCATCACCCAGCACCTCCTCACACTCTCACTCACTCATCATCACACTCCTCCTCCTCCTCCTCCTCCTCCTCCTCCTCATCATCGTCGTCATCATCATAATCATCATTCACTCACTCTCTCACTCACTCACTCACACACCCACGCTTGAGGAAGTATCAGGCGGGAGCCTCGTCTGTGAGTGAATTGCGAGGAAGTTTCAGGCGGGAGCCCCCTCCCTATGGGGCTCGCGGATCATGTTACTAATCCGAGCTGTTCATTCAGATCCTGAAACTGTCGTCACTTTTGGGCTCCTGACTCTTGAATATGGGGGAAGCACCAGGCGGGAGCCTCGTCTGTGAGTGAATAGCGAGGAAGTCTCAGGCGGGAGCCCCCTCCGTGTGGGGCCCGCAGATCATGTTATTAATCCGAGCGGGTCGTCCAGATCGTGTAACCGTCGTCACGTTTGGGCTCCTGAGGCTTGAATTTTGGGGAAGTATCAGGCGGGAGCCTCGTCTCTGAGTGAATTGCGAGGAAGTCTCAGGCAGGAGCCCCTTCCCTATGGGGCCCGCAGATCATGTTATTGATACGAGCGGGTCATCTAGATCGTGTAACCGTTGACACTTTTGGGCTCCTGAGTCTTGAATATGGGGGAAGCATCAGGCGGGAGCCTCGTCTGTGAGTGAATTGCGAGGAAGTCTCAGGCGGCAGTCCCTCCTTATGGGGCCCGCAGATCATGTTGTTAATCGGAGCGGGTCGTCCAGATCCTGTAACTGTCGTCACTTTTGGGCTCCTGAGTCTTGAATATGGGGGAAGTGTCAGGCGGGAGCCTCGTCTGTCAGTGAACTGTGCGGAAATCTCAGGCGGAAGCCCCCTCCCTATGGGGCACGCACTTCATGTTCGCAATCCGAGCGCGTCATCCTCGATGGGCTCCTGAGGCCTGAATCTGGGGGAAGCATCAGGCGAGAGCCTCGTCTGTGAGTGAACTGTGATGAAGTCTCAGGTGGGAGCTCCCACCCTATGGGGCCCGCAGATCATGTGATTAATCCGAGCGGGTCATCCTCGAACCTGTAAGTATCGTCATTTTTTGGCTCCTGAGGCCTGAATCTGCTGGAATTATCAGGCGGGAGCTTCGTCTGTGAGTGAACTGCGAGGAACTCTCAGGCTGGAGCCCTCTCCCTATGGGGCCCGCGTTTCATGTTGGTAATCCGAGCGGGTCATCCTCGAACCTGTAACTGTCGTCACTGAGGCCTGAATATGAGGGAAGTATCAGGCGGGAGCCTCGTCTGTGAGTGAACTGTGAGGAAGTCTCAGGCGGGAGCCCCCTCCCTATAGGGCCCGCACTTCATGTTGGCAATCCGAGCGGATCATCCTCGAACCTGTAACTATCGTCACTTTTGGGCTCCTGAGGCCTGAATATGGGGGAAGTATCAGGCGCCCCCGTCCCAATGGGGCCCGCGCGCTTCCTTCGGGTCGTCCTCCGGCGCGTATCCGCCGGGGCGCACGTCGTGCGTTTCCTCTGAGTCGTGTTCCGCACGAGGAGGAAGGAGGATGCAGGAGGAGAAAGAGAAGCAGGAGGAGGAGGAGGAGGAGGAGGAGGAGGAGAAGGAGGAAGCAGAGGGCGAGAAGGACGAGGAGGACATGGAGGAAGAGGAGTGCCTAGGAGGCCCCGGGATGTCCCGGGAGTCCTAGAAGGCTCAAGGAGGCCCCAAGAGGCCCCAAGAGTCCCCAGGAGGAGGCAGGAAGCCTAAGGAGGAGGCAGGAGGAGGGGGAGGCGGAGGAGGAGGGGGGGGAAGATAGAGACGAGGAGGAGGAGGAGGCGGAGGAGGGAGAGGGAGAAGAGGAAGATGGAGAGGGGAGGCGGCGGAGGAGGAGGAGGAGGAGGAGGAGGAGAAGGAGGAGGAGGAGGAGGAGGAGGAGGGAGAAGGAAAGCAGCAGGAGGAGGAGGAGGACGCAGGACGCAGGAGGAGCATGGGGAATGGGGGGAAGAGGCATAACGAGGAGGAGGAAAAGGAGGAGGAGGAGGAGGAGGAGGTGATGGTGGAGGAGGCCAGAGGAGGAGGCAGGGGTTGAGGCAGGAGGAGGAAGAGGCAGGAGGAAAAGGAGGAGGCAGGAGTAGGTGGGAGAAGCGAGGGGGCAGGAGGAGATCCCCAGGCAAGCTAATCAGATTCTCATGTGGGGTCCTACCGTCGGAGTAATGGATTGCTGTGGTTTGCGCGAAATGTTCTTAGAACATGTCTGGCTGAAGCTGTCTTGTCTTAACACATCGGCTTGATGCTCTAAGAACATTGTTTTTGTTCTTAGAACACGTTGGGGTTCTAGGAACATGTCGTGGTAGGCCTATAGGAAGACCGGGACGGTCGGCCCCTCCTCAAGATTCAGGGCACTTCGTGCTGTTGCTCCTCGCCTGTCGTTTCCCCTCCGCCTCGCCTACCTTCCTGCCCTGCCGGCATTGCCAGGAGCTCGAGGAGAGATTCGTCCAGGCCGCCCGTCCCTCCCCGCCCCGCACCCCGTCGCCGGCTGCAGTGCATGACGTTCTTGGGATTGGAGGAGCGAGGAGGAGCGAGGAGGAGGAGGAGAAGGAGGAGGAGGAGGCGGAGGAGGAGGAGGAGGAGGAGGCGGAGGCGGAGGCGGAGGAGGAGGGCGGGCGGGGCACAAACTTCACAGAGATAATGCGTCAAGTGTTCCAGTGGACCCCTCTTTGTTGCCCTGTGTCCTGGCTCGGCGATCACAGCTCTCATACAGGAGGCATCCCATGCGGGGGGTCTCGCGGATTCGAGCCTAGAACGATCTGGGGCTCACGAAGATGCGGGCAGGGGGCAGTTTAACAGAGGAGGCCTTACACATTTGCTGCACAGACACGCTAACGGCGGTGTAGGCAACGACGATATAGGGTACAGTATTGTGGGTGAGGGCGGTTCGTGGCCGACCCAATTGCAGGAAAGCGCCGTTCGTGCTCTCCTACCGTTTGTTCTGCGCGAGCTCGGCCCCGCAAAATCCAGATTCCCAACATCGCCGTTAACCAACATCGCCGTCAGCGTGGCTTCGGACAATAGCCATGTCTTGCCCACGGGCGTGTGGATCGCTTCGCGAGACCTCCTGCCCATACTCTGGTCCCCAGAGGTTAACATGATATCGCTGAAGTGCGCAGTTTGGCAGCCGCTTCGCTGGGACCAATGCGTGTTAGGGCCCCCCTGCGGTAAGCCGTTCTGAGGGCACACCACGGAGGCTCGCTGACAGACACATCGAGTACAGAATACAGCCAGATGCACATCGTTCAGGGTGCTTGTCAAACTCCGCTCCTCCTCGCCTTTCTCTCCTTATGCTTATTCTTTCTCCGCGCTCTACCCACCGCCACCGACTGGAGGCGGTGGGCCCACCTGTATCGCCAGCCCCGCTGGCTGTCTGTCTTGTGGTTGTCCTGTGGTTGTTCTGCTGATGGTCTCGACGGCTATACCGAGGCGAGGACAATCAATAGGTGCAACGATACATTACGATTCGTGCTGCATATATACGTTGGCAGTTTGGCAAGTCTTCCGGTATTCCGATACACGGAAGTATAGGGTTGTGCCCGCTTGCAGCATACGTAGATGAATGGTGCCGATCCACGTATGTATGTATATAACTGTGTTTATGATGTCTGTAAGTTTATGTATATGTACATATGCATGTACATCTATACACATAGGAACACACATGCGTGCATGTATGAATGGATGGATGAACAAATTTATGCATGTATGTATGCATGCATGTGTGCTCCCCAATCAGTGCTTGCACTGACGGGGTCCTAGCGGATATTGAAAGAGAAGGCGAATGATTCATGCCGATTTTGGTGGCAGGCCGGGTTCCCGGGTTCCCGGTTCCGGGTTCCCGGGTTCCCAGTTCCCGGGCCGATTTCGGTGAGCGGCGAGGTTCCCAGGTTCCCGGGTTGCTGGTCGATCTTCTTATCGATCGGTCTCAGCATCGATCTCATTTCCCATCTCTCGTTCGATCTCACCATCGATCTCACAATCGATCTCACAATCGATCTCGCAAGCGATCCCACTAGAGATCGCACGAGCGATCTCGCGATCGATCTCCCTATTATCGATCTCATTGAATCGATTTCACTCTCGGTCTCACGATTGACCTTACAATCGTCAACTATCGATTCCACTATCGATCTCATGATCGATCTCACAATCTATCTCAAGATCCATATGACTGATTCTCAAATCATCCACTGAGTGGGTTCTCTCAGGTGTAATATCTAAATCTATGTGTGTATGTATGCATGTATGTATGTATGTATGTATGTATGTATGTATGTATGTATGTATGTATGTGTGTGTGTGTGTATGTATGCGAGTGTGTTTGTACGTATGTCTGTATGTATGCATGTGCATACATATTTGTTTTCATACAAACATATACATGCACGCACGACTGCGTTGGCGTTTCGCGCCATGCACCTTGGTCTCTCAAGCCGTGCACCTGTTGGCACTTGGCGCCGTCCCCTTTGGCCTTGAACTTTGGCTGCTTCCCGTCCAGTCACCTCGCCCGTTCCTGTTTGCTCTTGCCCTCGCTTTACGGATCGGTGCGCTACCCAAACTCTTCTTGGGGTGCGTTTTGATTCGAATTTCGAGGCAGACCCGATCACGTGCTGCGAGAACGCCACCTGCAGGCCCCGACAGAACGTCGAGCCAAAATCGCGTGCCTTCGCGCGATCCTGCGCCAGCTGGTGTTGTTACGGCCTGCGCGTCGATTTTTGACACCGCTTGGATCGTTCAGCCGTGGACGGTCGCTCATTCCCGTTCAACGGCTACGGATACATGGGTACGTACACGGTTGAAGAACATGCTCCCATGAATGACGTGGAAGGGCTTCCGTGTGGCGCGCGCTGTGGCCCACTCGTGGCCCAGGCTGCCCGGGATCGCAATGCGAAGCAACGGCAAGCCACGCGAACGGATGCCAAACAAAGCAACACATTGTCAGGCAACGCCGCAGAAGACCTAGCAATGCAATCTGAAGTTATTTGCAATGTCTTTGGTAATACACCGAATCCCGGGTTCGCCACGAATTTAGAGAATTGTGTTGCGAACCGTGAATGCGGCCGCAGAGGATTTAGAGAAGAGCCTAAGCTGCGCCGTTCGTGCTTAGACTTAGAGGAATTGTGCTGCGAACCGTGGCTATTCTCTGGTTCGTGCCTAATCTAGGATATAGCGGCTTAGAGAATTGTGCTGCGAACCGTGAATTGTGCTGCGAACCGTGAATTTAGAGAATTGTGTTGCGAACGGATTTAGAGGATTTAGAGAATTCGCCCCGGATGCGGGCCAAGTGGGTGAGTTCCGCAGGGGACGCCTTCAGGAAGACGCACGACAGTGCAAAGCAATGACGTTCCCGGCCCCTCGCGTGGCCACCACACCGGCTCGTTCGTTGCCCCAGTCGCCCGGTCGCGCTATGCAAGGCAATGGACAGCAACGCCTCATCGTTCCTCAGCGCACTTCTCGTTCATCCACGCTCTCGCCTGGCATTGCGAACCATGTCCTTTCTGCCGCAGGGTTTTTTTGCGGAGGGTCTTCGCTGGAGAACTTCTTGGGGGCCTCGGGAATGCCTCTCGAGGGCTTTGGGGACCTCTGGAGGCCTCCTCGGCGCCTCTTTGGGCCGTCTTGGGGATCCTTGTGAAGCCCGTGTTGGCCGTCTTGGGTCCCCTTTGGCCCTTGTGCCGTTCTGGGGCCTTCTTGGGAAACTTGGGCCCTCTTGGGGACCTCCCATGGCCCTCGTGGGTCTCTCTCGGAAGCCCGTGGGGGCCTCGCGAGCTTCTTCGAGGCCGTCTTGGAGCTCTATTGGGGTACTCTTGGCCCGGCTTGAAAACCTCTTGGGGGCCTCCTTGGGGCGATCTCGCAGGCGTCTTGGGCCGTCTTGGACGCTGCCACGACCCAAAAAGCATGTGCTTCTTTGGGGATGCATCGATTTTTGTCTCTTGGGCGCTCTCCTGAATTCCTGCTGGGGCGTCTTTGGGGCCTCTCGGGCCGTCTTTGGGGCCTCATGGGCCGTCTGGAGGCAGTCTTGCGCTGCCGTGTGGCCGTGTGGATCTCCTAGGGCACTTGGGCCCTGGGGACCTCCCATGGCCCTCGTGGGTCTCTCTTGGGAGCCTTTGGGGGCCTCGCGAGCTTCTCATATGCCGTCTTGGGGCTGTCGACATGAAACCCTCTTGGGGGCCTCTTGGGCCTCCTTGAGGCGATCTCGCAGGCGTCTTGGGCCGTCTTGGATGCTGCGACGACACCAAAAAACCGAAGATGCTACACATGCACGTGTTCTTCAGGAAGGTGGACGATGTTTGCCTTTTGGGGGCTTTCCTGAAGTCCTGTTGGGGCGTCTTTGGGGCCTCTTGGGCCATCTTGGGGGCTTCTTGGGCTGTCTGGATGCCGTCTTGCGCTTCCGTGGGGCTCTCCTGCGCCTTTCCGACCACTTCTGTGATCGCTTTGAGTTTGCTGGGAAGGCCCGTCAAAGTGCATTCGGAGGCGCGGCGAGGCTGGGGGGCGTCTTCCAAGGGCGTCCAGGGGGGGCCCCGAGCTCCATATCCAGGGGGTCCGTTTTTTGGGAAGGTGGACGGTTTTTCCCGCCCCCCTGGCTTATAACGGTATAGGATGATGAACAGAACATATAGTTAAGTAACACATCAATTGATCAATTAACGAGTGGCACGTGTGTGCCCAGGCTCATACGACAAAATCTGAAAGGGCGTTTGAAGCAGGAAGACACCATGACGGCGGGATCGGAGATGGAGAAGGAGATGCAAGATTGGCTGGCGGAGTGAGCTAAGCGATTAACAAGAGAAGGGTAAGCACGATTCCCACCAGCCGATTTGTTTCACCAGACAATTTGTGGAGGGAAAGAGAAGGAGGAGAAGAGGAGGAGGTTAGCTGCTGGGAGTGAAATGCAATAGCGAGGTCGCACTCGAGCGCAGGTGGGGTTGCCACACCTTGCGATGTGTGTACCAGGGCCCCCCAGGAAGCCTCAGGAGGACCGACTTGGATACCGGAAGAGGCTCCAGGAGGCCCCAGGAATGTGAGTGTTGTGTGTGTGTGTGATGTGTGCTCTGTGTTGTGCGTGTTTTCTGTGCGTTGTAGGTGTTGTGTGTGTGTTATGTTTGTCTAGCGTGTGATGTGTTGGGTGTGATTTGTGTCTCTGTGTGTGTGCATGTAGTTCTGAGGCCCCAGGAGGCCCCAGGAGGCTCCAGGCGGCCTCAGGAGGCCCCAGGAGACCCCAGGAGGCTCCAGGAGGCCCCAAGAGGCTCCAGGAGGCCGCAGGAGGCCCCAGGAGGCCCCAGGAGGTTCCAGGAGACCCCCAGGAGACCCCCAGGAGGCTCCGAGGCGGGGTCTGGGGTACCAGAAGGTACAGACAGCCCCAGGAGGCTCTAGGAGGTTCCAGAAGGCCCCCAGGAGGGTCCGAGGCGGGGTGGGGGGTACCAGAAGGTACGTCGGGGCTCGATTTTGGGAGGATGTCTCAGGCGAAACCGCCATTCTCTGAGAATCGGGGTCAAAATCATTGAAATTACAATATGTTTTTGAAGGTTCGATGCTAGAATGTTGAAATTCCGATTTGTTTTTGGATCCTGACGTCACGATCTGTGTCAGGGGTGCCACCGATTTTCAGAATTTCGAGGATGTCCCTAGCGAAACGGCTAGAAAAATCGCGAACGCGGCGCGTACGCATTAATTGCTTCTGAGCTCTACTCCCTCGGAGAGGTGTGCATGATAATTAATTAGTAAACAAATAAGGCGGGCCCCCTCCCTGCATGGGTGTCCCCCACCTCGATCACATCTGGATTACGTTCCCAGTACCGCGCTTCCCGGCCTCCCGGGGAGCCCCCCAAACGCCCAAAGACAGCCTAAGACGACCCCAAGAAGCCCCCAGAACGTTTCCAATGGTTTTTGTCGACGTTTTTCGCCTTCTCACGTTTTCCCGCTTCCAACGCTCCAAGACCGAGGAATTTGAAAGAAGAGCGAAATCCAGAGATTCCCTTTTTGTAAGTTCAACAAGAGCCTGCTTTTTTTTAGACTCTGGCGAGTTTACTTGCATGGACGGGGGGGAGGGGGGGCTGAGCCTGAAGCAAGCCGCAAACGACTTGCACGTTCGGGGGGGGGGGGGGGCGAACGCCATGCAAGTAAACTTGCCTGAATCAAAAACAAAAAAAAACAGGCTCCAAATACGCCCCCCCTCCTCCCGGAGGTCCCACACCTTCCCGGAGCATCTGCGGAGCACTCCCAGCACCCCGCTTCTCGACCTCCCGGGGAGTCCCCAGAACGCAGAAGGACACCCTAAGACGACCCCACAAAAAATCCCAGGGCGCAACAGAGAATAATTTCGGGGGGGACTGTGGCGGCGCGTTCTGTGAGGTGCTCAACGGCGTGGTTTGATGTATGATGTACTTATTTGCGTTGTGTTATCTGATGTGTGGCGTTGTAGTGTTTCTTGGTTTCTGAATATCGTGGGATCCCTAGGAATCCCTTCGTCTCCCCCCACGTAAAGAGCCCGTGTGTAATCCGCACAAGAGGAATCATTTTTTAACCCGCCAGAAGGAATCCCTTTGCAATCCTCCACAAAAGAAATCCTTTTGTAACCCGCACAAAAGGGATCCCTTTATAAAATCGTTGATTCCCCGTTGTTTTTGTCAACGTTTTTGTATTGTCACGTTTTCCCGCTTCAACGCTCAAAGACCGAGGAACTTGAAAAAGGGAATTCCAGAGATCTTTTTCTTTTTTAAGTTGGGACTCCCACTCCGTACCTTCCTCGAGCCCCATCAAGATTTCGGAGTCACATGCAAAGATGGTTCGGGAATATTGTTGAACTCTCTGACGCTGTCTTGGCACTCTCTTGGATGGTTTTCGTGACTTTTTGGCTGCCCCTGAGACCACTGTGGAAATCGAGATCCCATGATCCCATGAGTTGAAACATTGCCATTCCTTGCATTTAAAACTCACCACCTGCTAATTATTGCAAGAAGATCCCGAGATGCACCCCAGCGGACCGTGGCCTGTATCCAGAAAATTGTTAACCCACAGCCCAGGCACGGCAACTTGAAAAAAATGGAAATCCCACAATCCCCTCCTTTCTTTTGAAGTTCACCCCCTGTCTACTCTCAGCTCCCAGAGAAGAAACCAGGAAGCCTTTGAGGACCCCAATTCGTTGAATACCCCATAGAAGTTAATGATTTCCGCGTTTCCGCAGTTCCCCTCCTATACGATTCTTAGGCTTGCGAAGGGCCGCCAAGAGAGTCTTAATATGCAAGAAGCAGCAACAATTAAATTCCATGTTTTAGCCCACCAAGCCTAGCTAGAACTTGAGCGCGCACACATATATATATATATATATATATATATATGTATATGTATGTATGTAGGTGTACTTATATTTATACATATATATATATACACACATGCACTCCCGCTTATATAGTTTGATTACCCGGGACCCCCCCCCGAAGTCGGACCCCCCGAATCGAGGGCCTCTGGGACTTGGACCCCCGGACCCGTGGCCCCGGGGACCCCCCGGACACCCCTGCAGGAGGCCCGCTTGGCGTTTCAGTGCTCCTCTGAGCCCTTGCTGGGCCTAGGCAGCGGGCCCCAAGCTGTCAGGAGGGCGGCCGAACGCCCCTCGAGGGACCCAAGGGGCCCCAGACACCAGACGCCCGAGGCCGACCCAAAGAAGACCCCGACGAGGCTTCCAAAACGCAGAACACAGATTGCCCATGTTTTTTTTGTTGTTGCATGATTTTGGGGATGCCCTGTTCTTCGGTCTTCTGGGCGTCCGAGACCGCCTGGGAAGCTCGAAAATCGCAACGAAACCAACTGAAAGGGCTTCCCAGGCAGTCCAAGAGAGCCCCAAGACGGCACAACAGGGTTCCAAGATGGCCTAAGAGAGCCCCATGACGGCCCAAGATGGCCCCAAGCCGCACTCCGAAGCATTCCAAATCGTGACCCAGTCGTTCAGGGAGACCGTTGTTGGAGGCAGGGTGGCCCGAGGAAGCTCCCAGAGGCCCCCAGAAGACGCCCAGGCCTCGAGAAGGCCTTCAGGAAGCCTGAAAAACTTCCGTGAGGCCCCTAGAGGCTCTCCAAGGATGAGCCTCCGCAAAAAGAGCTGACCAGGATGGGGGACCAATAGGGGAGAATTCGCAGGGTAGGGCGAGGAAAAATAAACATGGAGGAAGGGTACAAAACCACATCATCATAACGACGATGCCGCATAAGGCAAAAAGGAGTCATCGTTAAATTGTTTGTTTAACCTGCCTGCCATTCCGCCTGCATACCAAACTTCAAGGACCAGGGTGCATGGCGCGAAGCGCCAATGCAGTCTTGTGTATATGTGTATATATAAATATACATGTATGTCTGTGTACATCGGTGTATACAGACGCTTGCGGCAAACCCCGTGACCGTGCATGTGCAACAGCGCAGCAGAGGGGACACTGCCTGTAGGAACGGCGCCCCTCCCCTCCCTCACCGCCCCCCCCCCGTCTCTACCCCCCACCTTCCCGTCCCCCTCTCCTCCCTCTCCGCCCTTCGTCTCCGCCCTTCGTCAAGGGAGGAAAAACCACATCGACCGGACAATTGGTGTTTACTAAACGGCCCTGCCCTGGTCGTTTTTTTTTTTTTTTTTTTTTTTTTTTTTTTTTTTTTTTTTTTTTTTTTTTTTTTTTTTTTTTTTTTTTTTTTTTTTTTTTTTTTTTAAAAAAAAAAAAAAAAAAAAAAAAAAAAAAGCCCTGCCTGGATTGTTTCCTTCTTTGGGTGCGTTTACTGAACGGCTTCGCGTGTCGGGGTGGTTATTATCGGGGTGGATTTTCTGCCCTCTACTTCGTCCCCTCTCCGCCCTTCCCTCGCTTCCCCCCCCCCCTTCGTCCCCCCTCGCCGCCCTGCCATTCTTCTCCCCCGCCCCTCGGCCACTGCAGGGGACGCTGCGGCCGATGGCGGCCTTCCTCGCACAGGCGAACTCCTCCGAGGAAGGGGAGGGGGCAGGGCTGGACCTAGACGGTGTTTTGGCGACGTCGTGGGCCGTTTTCGTTTCGGTGTCGTTTTGCAGCAAAGGCGAATCTCAAGACAAACCGAGGAAGAACGAAACCAGAACGAAAACGAAAAGCACTGGTCAGGTCCAGCCCTGGTAGGGAAGACACGGGCGCGGCAGGGGCTGGTCGATGAGCAGAACAGCGAAGGCGGCTTCGGCAGTAAGTCACTGGAGCCCTGTATGCCCTCGGACTTCCGATTTATCTAGGGGTCGGCAGCGTGCGCGCGTGCGCCGGCGTTTGGTAGTCGACGACAAGTCGTCGATTCAGCGTCGACGTGGTGCCGATGTGGCGTGGATCAACGTCGACCGTCGGCGAGCGTCGGTTCGCAAGAGCGAGCAAGATGGCACAGAAGGCCCCCATGAGCTGTCACAGCAGACGGAGGCGAGAAGGAGGGCGCGTTCGACCAGAGTGTTTTGCACCTTCAGCCCTTCTGGGCTCGGCCTGGGAGCGATCGCGCCGGGGGCGTTGCCGCCGCCCTCTGCCCCGCACAGTCCCTCTGGACGCCCGAGATGGGCACGGAAAAAATGGGTACGATGCACAACAGCAGTTCCTGTTCATTCTGAACAGGATTCGCTGTCCACGCCGCCGCGGCCTGTGCACGTTTGAGACAGGAGGCCGCTGTTGGTTTGGGACAACATTTGTTGTTGGGCATTGTACCCATTCTTTCGGTACCCATTTCGGGTGTCCAAAGTCCCAGTCTTGCGGAACGGTTGCCGTCCTGGACCCCACGGGGAGCACGCCGAGGCGTGGAGGGGCCACGGTCCGAAGGAGTTGCGGTGGGGGCGTTGGCTAAGGAACGTGCCCAGGAGGCGGTGGTGAAGGAACGTGCCCGACCCTGGAGGATTCCTTATCTGATGGGGGGGAGGAGGAGGAGGAGGAGGAGGAGGAGGAGGAGGAGGAGGAGGAGGAGGAGGAGGAGGAGGAGGAGGAGGAGGGAGGAGGAGAGGAGTGTGTGATATCCATGGCCAGTCCACGATTGGAGTTCACCCAGCTTCCAGACCGTGGATTCCGTATCCAGTGCTTCCTTATCCAATGCCCCCACCGCAGAGGTTGCGCGCCACGCGGGCAAAAGAAGGCCACGATCGCCAGGCGCGCGGCCGAGCTTGGCAGCAGGCAGGTTGAGCAGCAGCAGCAGCAGCAGCAGCAGGAGCAGCAGGAGGGCGTTGCTGATACCGCTGCTCTCCTCCCAGCTCTCGCCCATTCGGTTCCCATCATGCCACGCGCTGCGCTGCAAGCGAGCTCAGTTCCCGCAGCCGGCAGCTGGCACGGCTGGCCCCGGAGCTCTCCCGGCCGCCACAGGCGCAAGCAGAGGCTACGGTCGGGAATGTTTGCATAGCGTGTCGCGCCTCCAGTTCTTCACCACCCACCAAACCACCCCAACCCAACCCGAAGGCTCAGATTTACCCTCGATTTCTAGTGGGGGGGGGGTCCGGGAACATCGAAAAGAACACACATGGAGCCCATACCCCCCCAACCCGAAATTCGGGTCTTCGGGTTGGGTTGGGGTGGTCTGGTAGGCAGTCAGTTCTGGCCCACCACGTTTTGGCGCGACACGCTATCCACCTCGCGGTTCCCAAGCGCCAGCGTCTCGAGTTCTGTCCTTGCCTCCCGCCCCGCGGAGCGGAGCGGGACGCCATCCGCTCGCAGGGCACGGCGTGTCGCCCCGGGCGCCGCGGCGACACGCCAAGCAGAAGCTCCCGACCGCAGAGGAGGAGGAGGAGGAGGAGGAGGAGGAGGAGGAGGAGGAGGAGGAGGAGGAAGGGGAGGAGGAGGAGGACAGAGGAGGACAGAGGAGGACAGAGGAGGAAAGAGGAGGACAGAGGAGGGCAGAGGAGGGCAGAGGAGCAAAGAGAGGAGAGGGAGGAAAGGGAGACAAGGGAAGAAAGGGAGGATGGGGGAGGGAGGAGGGAGGAGGAGGAGGAGGAGGAGGCGGAGGAGGAGACCAGCGCAGGAGGAGGGCACCTCGTCGCGAGGCGGCCCAGGCCGGCAGAGCCGACGGGTCCGACCCCTCCTGCGGGGAGCGGCGGCCCGGCGAGCGGCTCGGCTCCCCCGGCAGCCGCATCCCAGGAGTCTGGAGGTCGGAAGAGGGGTGTGGCACAAAGGCGTGTGGTGCCACTCGTGGGGATGGCGAGGTTATTGTAGTGGCCTCCGGCCAGTGCCGCCGTTCCGGAGCGCTCCTGATGCTATTGTTGTTGAAATGGACGATGACGACGACAACGGACGACCAACGGTCGACGAGCGGGACAATTACGGCGACGACGAAGAGGGGTGTGGCACAAAGGCGTGTGGTGCCACTCGTGGGGATGGCGAGGTTATCTACGATGCTCCGAGTTTCTGAATAAGCGTCGGGGGGGGGGGCGAGCTGTGTGTAAGTGCTCTGGGAAGCTCTGTTTGAGGACACGGCGATACAACCCTTACGGGGCGTCACCCCCGCCGACAGACCGCATCGACCCCCGTCGCGGGCAGCCACCGCGCGCCGAAGGCGCTTCGACCCCCGTCGCGGCGCGACGACGAGGCGAGGTTGACACCCGTTGGGGGGTACCCCCCCACGCATGTTCAGAAACCCAGAGCAGATGAGACCTCGCCAGATCCAGCACTGGCAGCACACCCCTCTACACCACACGCCTGTCGTGCCCCAGAAGAAGGAGGAGCGGAGGCCGAGTCCCTCCCCTCGAAGAACAAAGGGCGCCATAGATCCGAGGCGGGAATTCACACATGACCACCGCCTGGAGGGTCAGTTTTCGGAGCCTCGGCAGGCGGTGGACCTGGACATATTCGGGCCCCCGGGGGCCGAAATATATCCATATCCGGAGCGCCAAACGCGTACGTTTTGCGGAGGATCGCTCCGCATCGCAGGTGGGGTGCGAGCAGGTGGGGTCCGAGGATCGCTCCGCATCGCCTGGGCAACGCCGGTGCGGCTCGATGTGGAGCACGACTTTCCCCACGCCGACGGCGCCAAAGCGTCGCCGACGTCGCCGATGCGTCGCCAGTTCATCGCCTATGCATCGGCGACGCGGCGCGATCCACCGATCCCATCTACTCGGACCGCATCTAGCAGGCCTCTAGTTCTAGAAGGAGGATCCGAGGCCGATTGCCCCCCCATTCCCCCTCCCACACATTCCTTTCTGTCCCGCCGGCGCTGTAGAATCACGACCAGGCGGTATGCTCACGGGATGCGTCAGCATGAACTGCAGACGAGTCTGTGTGGACTGCGCTCCGGCCGAATCTGCGAGATCCCGCGCGAGAGACGGGCAACGACGAGCAAGAGAGCGAGCACATCACGCAACGGCCAGGCAATGCGCGCAGGGCGGCGAAGCAGGGGCGCCGGCGGGCGCCGCACCCAGAGGCGAAGACAGCAACCAGGGGGAGGAGGAGGAGGAGGAGGAGGAGGAGGAGGAGGAGGAGGAGGAGGAGGAGGAGGAGGAGGAGGAGGAGGAGGAGGGGAGGAGAGGAGGAGGAGGAGGAGGAGGAGGAGGAGGAGGAGGAGCCACCGCCAGAAGATGTCTACATCTTCCGCTTCTGAGTCGTGCCATGGGATCTCGAGGAGCGGTGGACATGGGCATCTGCCCGCCCGCGTTGGCGGGCAGGTGTCCACATCCGCCGCGCTCCCCGAGCCCTCGGAGCACGGCCCAGCAGCGGTGGTTATGGTCGGATTCCGGCGGCGCACGCTTGGCGTGTGGCTTCCCTCCAGACTTTCGTCCCAGCGAGCAGCTTGCCCGCGAGAGCTCTGCCCGATTCGTGTGGCGCCCGGCGGAAGGTGCCCGGGGCCCCGACCCCCATGTCGGTGCCTCCCCGTGGCCCCCGTGGCCCACCAGCGCCGGCCCCCCAGTCCCGGGCCCCCCGTCGTGCCCCCCCCCCCCCTCCTTCGTGGCCCCCCATCGTTGGCCCCCCAATCACAGGCCCCTCCATCGCGCCCCCCCTCCTCTCGGGCCCCCTCATCGTAGTCGCGTGCAGCTGTCCCTGTCTCGGGTTGCACACATCCTCGACGGCACGCTTCGAGGGGCACCGCGGGCAGCAGGCTTGCTCAGCGCTGTCGTGTGTGTGTGTGTGTGTGTGAGTGTGTGAGTGTGTGTGTGAGTGTGTGTGAGTGTGTTTGTGTGTGTGTGAGGGAGGGGGCAGTGTGCAGTGGCAGTGCGAATCCTTGCGCTGTGCTGGCTGAGGCGTGATCGCGCATGATGGGGCTGAGTTCCACCCAGACCCCCGGCGTCGTGATTTTTTCATAACGTCGACCCCCAGAGGCCTGGACCCCTTCTCCGGGACCGGCTTTGACAGCCCCGAGGCCTGGTAAGGGCCCCCGGAGGCCGAAAATGGTGAACACCTCCCGTCGTGTTTTTTTGGTGTTCACAGCGCGAGGAGGTCTGGGCACGGAAAATCAAAGAGCTGCCCCCGTCTCGGGTCTGCCCCTCCCAGGGGTGTCGCCGGGACGGGCGCGCTGAACATCGATATATCCTCTTTTGTCGAAGTGTCCCAGCAGGCGCTACCCCGACGCAGGACAGCGTCACACGAGGGAGCATCGACGCTACCCGTCCATCCGAGCCATGGGTGGCCGTGCTTCAGAGCCCCGAATTATCAGGGGTAATTCGGGTCAGGGCTAACTCGGGTTCGTTTTTCGGGAGTCCGAACCCGAGTTATCCCGGGCCCGAGTTACCCCGGATATTTCGGGTGTCCAGAGCCCCGAATCATCAGGGGTAACTCGGGTCAGGGTGAACTCGGGTTCGTTTTTCGGGAACCCAAACCCGAGTTATCCCGGACCCGAGTTACCCCGGATAACTCGGGCGTCCAAGTGCTGGCGCGCCCCCGTGGGCTCACCGGTGTCGCCGGGAGTTGGCCGCGCAGGGGGCAGGCGGGCCGCGCAGGGGCGTGCGCGGAGGCCCCCCGCGCAGAAGCTCGCGGGCGGAGGGCGGCGGCGCGCAGCGCCCGCGAGGCGGGCCGAGAGT